TCTATGCTTGGAACAATATACTGTTAGAGCCAGAATGCTTATGCAGTCAATGGGAAACAAGATGCCACCCATGAGGAGGCCCTCTTTTATTCTCTATTCTAATGCCTCGACGTTTCACTTATGCGGTTTGCATTTTTGCAAGGTTAACCTGCCAAAAACATTGTGTTAAAAAGCTTTTTCAGAAACATCACCTTATTACAAACTTCCATTTTTAGGTGCCATACCAAAACTCCACTTGACCTGTCTTTTAGTAAGAACCACTCGGCAGCCAAAGGGACTTACCATGTCTACTTGATTTGGCAAGTTACAAAGTATGACAAAACATTGCAAGCGGATACACACAAGTATATTCTGCAGATGTGACGAGAGACAATGCTCGTAATAGCCTCAACAGCTGCCAGGCTTCAAGTTTGAGCAGGGAGATCTTGGTAGGCAGCACATACTTGCAGAGGGGGCCACCTCTCAGATTTTGAGCACTGCTGCTGTCAAAGCTTACACCGTCCTCGGGGTCGGACTCTTGGGGCTCAAGGGAGAGGCCCCAAAATAGAGCTATACAAGCCCGCATTGTGCAGAAAGTCAAATGATTTTGCTGTGCCTAGCACCTTTGCAACCACCGGAACCTGCTTTTCAGCATCCTATTCACTGCTCTACGACAGAATCCTAAGCAATGCTTTTAGTTAAGCTTGGCCTCAGAACAGCAGAGCATCCATTGGGGTTGCGAGAAATTGGTGTGCAAGCATGGCTTCAGGGTTTTGTCGGTCACCTGCACACAAAAGTGAGGCGGTATCTGACATGAATGTTTCATAACCTTTTCAGTTGTCCAAAAGCACATCAAGACTAGATAGAAATTCTATATGCTAATGCAGCCTCTACTTGGAGATAGTAGTTGCATAGCATCCCAAAAAGGCTGAAAATGTAATAATAAAAAAGTTGAAAAAAAAGTGGAGATATTCCACTTGTCTTGCACAATACCCAAAATTATGCCTTCAGAGCAAAGAGGTGTCAAGTGAGTTTATAATCACTTCATTTTCCTTTATATACAAAGGTGGGAGATGGGACATATAATGTCAAACGTCAGGCTGCATGGCTTGCAGCTTGACGAGGTGCCCTATCCGGTGTGGCAGAAAAGTAGCAGAAACGTTTCAGACAACACAAGCAAAGAACAAGATACTGTACCAGTTTTAACCTGCAATCGTAAAATGAAAACGTACACAACGTGCTGCAGCAGAACAATTTCCAGATGTTGAGGCCCGAGACATTTGGATACAGATGCAATCACGAGTAAGCTTGAATCCGTGCGACTATCTCACACGACACTCATCACGGTGAACGAGGCACCCGTTTTCTACCGAGAGCTCTCGTGCAAGCGCATTGAGAAAATGTGTATTGAGCACTTACCGACAACACCGCTGAATTCGCATCGCTGAACTTCTTGGTCGTCGTCTTTCCGTCTTCACTTGGCGCGCGAAGCCCACCCACCTTCAGCCCCGGGTTATCGATTATCGCCTCTGTAGCATCCAAAGAATGCGACTCGCAGCACACCGACGCACGATGACGTCTTCGTCGCAGCAAAATGTGCCGCCAGCAACGCTCAAAGAGAGCACTTGCTGCTCGGCGGTCACCACATGGGGCCCCTCGCGACGCCGCCAAACCTTCCACGGCAAATGTCAGCACCAGCGAGTGTCGGGCAGTATTCCCCGATTACGTCCCTGACGAACCTTGAACGGCGAACACATAAAAACGTAGCGATAGTCCGCTTTGGTCCGCCCCGTCCGCGAGCTTGAACGTCGCCATCTTCGTTGACTTTGGCAACTTTTGCTGCCCGACTACTACAAAGTTATCTCCATCGGCAAACTCAATCGTGACGACATTTTGACGTCACCGCGAACTTCATTATTTCAACAGCATAGCTCGAACTCCATCGGAATCCGTAGGGAAAAACTCAATCGCAACGTCACATCACGTGACCAAAAGGGCAGCCAATCAGCGACCGATTGAGTTAACTTCATCGTTGAGTTTGCGATCTAGCATAGACAGACTGATCTCAATGACAATTGCTGGATCGCGTTTGCCGCTCCCGCAAGTGAAGCCACCGGACTTCACTCGCTTGGGATACGATTTGCCGTTTTTGCTAGCCTTTGCTGCGGTTTTCCAGCGTGCTGTGGACACGTTTTCTACTCGTTCGTCGTCATTCGCCGAAGAAGTGTTTTGAAGACTCTGTGTATTGTTGAGACTTGCCGTCGTGAACACGTGGAAAATTTTACGAAAGTGCAGTGTCGCAGGAAAAAGGCACAACGCGTCGAAAGGAAGGGCTGGCGGCGTGTTCAAAGCTTCCTTGGCACGCCGAAGTGCCGTGTCTCTGTGCCTTCGCACGCTTGGATACCGACCAAAAATCGACGCCGTGTGGATGTGCTTTGCGAGTGCAATGTGCGTGAAGCCGTATCAAAAGGTACAACTCGTCGAAAACAAGTGTCGCCGGTGTCGCGGCGTGATCAAAGCTTCTTTGGCACGCCGAGTGATGCATCTTTGTGCCTTCGCACGCTTGGATACCGGTCAAGAATTGACGCCGCGCCAAAGTTCTGAACGTGTGTCGCGTGTACAAGCCTTTAGATCATTTATATATATCGGCCACGGAGTTCTGGATCGTCCAGCTGTTCCGGTGAGTTGCTATCAATAAAAGGGAGAGATCTGTACGTGTTCTTATGTACTATATTAACCATGGCTATGTCCCAAATCTACTCTAATAGATTCCGTGGGAGCACGAATAGGGCAACGTTGTGGAGCCAGGGGGGTTTTCGAAAGCAAAAGTACAAGACGGCGAGAATGAAAGTCTTTGAAGCGCGGCCGATATGGTCGTGTGCAATCTGCTGACCAATTACAATTAGGCGAGCCGCGCTCAAACGTCAAGTGCAATTAAGTAGGTTGATAATAAGCCAGTACTGATCAGTGATGAGGAGCTGTTGTGCACGGTATTGTGTAAATCGTCTAAGGACGAAAAAAAGACGTACCTTCCCCCCATCTTCCGTTGCTAGTGGACGCTGGATTAAGCTCGTTCCTAAACCGCGAGGGGAAAAGACGCTGATCCAGAGGCACGAACAGCTTTACGCAGATTGCACTCGCTAAACACATACACACGGCGTCGGTTCTTGGTCGGTATCCAAGCGTGCGAAGGCACAGAGACACGGCACATCGGCGTGCCAAGGAAGCTATGAACACGCCGCCAGCCCTTCCTTTCGACGTGTTGTGCCTTTTTCCTGCGACACTGCACTTTCGTAAAATTTTCCACGTGTTCACAACGGCAAGTCTCAACAATACACAGAGTCTTCAAAAAACTTCTTCGGCGAATGACGACGAACTAATAGAAAACGTGTCCACAGCACGCTGGAAAACCGCAGCAAAGGCTAGCAAAAACGGCAAATCGTATCCCAAGCGAGTGAAGTCCGGTGGCTTCACTTGCGCTGCAGCGAACAAGCGGGGAAGCGCGATCCAGCAATTGTCATAGAGATCAGTGTTCCCAACGGATTTGAAGCAGTTTCTTGGTGTCAAATGAGTACTTTGGAAGCTCGCTCCCGTATCCACGCTCCAGCACGGAACAAATGATTGGCATATTCAATTTTTAGACTACTTGCTCGACTGGCAAGCCTGCCTGCCACTGACGTCACGGTACTGAAAAGTGCGCGAATATTTGAATATTGGTTTTTGCACCATTTTCATTTGCCGATTTCACATTACCTATTATGAATTTCGCTATGCTAAATAGCATACCGGAAAGGCTAAAGGCCGGGGAGTCAGAAAATATAGTTAGTTGAGGTAGCTCAAAAAATCGGTGGAATACCCCTTTAAGAGGTCGCAAGCAGTCGTAAGAGTGTGAACGGGCCTTGACTTGTCGTTGCGATCAGTGGTGGGAGCTGTAGGGGGGCATCTAGCTGCCACTGCATTGTCATGGATGTGGGTATGAACCTATCTTCAGTCAGACGGGTATCATTGGCTATGGAAGGGACAGAGTGATTCGAGAAATTTTAGAGGCGCATGCAATTATAAAAGCAGGCGCGAACTGCGTAAGCCAAACGTCACTGGGCTTGAGTAGTAAAGAGATGATTTTTTGGACACGTGGTGAATGTATCATCTGACATGGGCGGAGTTGCTGTTTTCTTTGTTTTGTTTTCATGTGATTAAATTTCAGTTGAGAGTCAGCGCTTGTCCTGTTTGCACTTCCTTCAGTCCCCGTTTACTGTGCGCTGTTTGCCTTTTCGTCAGTATGAACCAACTAACCCACATGTACGACGAAATCGTCCGATCCGACGTCCGACCACGCAATACGACGGTCGGAGGCGTGGGTTTTAAACGCTCTCCGATGCTACGAAACCCCTCTCCCCCCAAGGTCATTCCGGCAGTCCGCACGTCGGATCGGAAGGTTTCGTCGTACATGTGTTTCGCGCGTTATTCATTTCTAACCTCCTTGATTTTACGACATTGTGGAATTCGGGACATTTTGTAGATTTGGGACTTTCTCGCGGGACGCAAGACAGTCCCGCGAGTCGCGGGACGGGTGGTCACCCTAGCTCCGCTGGAAATGGGGAGGTCTCTGCACATTCGATACCAGAACTAGGGTAGCCACCATACCAGAACCAGGCGGATTTTTTCGGTCGCGCACCAGTCACCTAGCTGTGTTTAGAGATATGTGTTTGTCCTTTGTTCCCCTTCTCAAGAGATTAATATTGTCACAACTGTGTTTTTCTATCTTTTTTTTATTCTTAGATTGCTTTTTTAGTCTGAAATTTTGCGTACGATTGTTCTTTCAAATGAAAAAAGGGGCTACCTGAAATCGAGAACTTGGATTGAGCGCGTTGGTAATAAATTCAAAAATATACGAAAGAGTCAGACGAAGAGGACGGACAGGACAAACATCTTTCGAAAGATGTTTGTCCTGTCCGTCCTCTTCGTCTGACTTTTTCGTATATTTTTGAAATCGAAACTCAGCATTTGACGCTGGATTAGCCAAAGAGTTGTGGTTAGAGCCAACGCGAGCCGCTCCCAGTTCGCGGTCCTTCGAAAAGAAAGATGGCTGCTCCCTGGAGCGGGCAGGTGTTGCACAGCGGCCAGGTGCCCATAGAGATCCTCCAATGGAAGATCCGATCGGGCAGTCGGATCTCCCACGGCACGGGCCTGCTCATGTACCGCCGGCTCAACGGGGGTCTGAACGCAACCCCGTGCAAGCTCAAGTCCGCCCACGACGGGACCGTGCGAACGCTCATCGCCAAGGAAGGCTGCGTCGTGCAGCCCGGGTATGTCCACGCTCCCGCGCTGCCGTACCCCGTCTCTTCAGCAACGCACGGCGTTCAGAACGCCTGCTAGCGCGGCCCAAAGAACCTGCGTTGCTTGGTTCGAACGAGCCGTCGTTGGCCGGATGGTCGTGGTGGAGTGCGCGAAGAGCGGGACAGTTCAGATTTGCTTCTAGTCGCCGCGTTCGCTTCCAACAAGACTAAAAGCTGGTTCAGGCACCTGCGTCTTCGTGTGAGACCGATTATACCTGCTTGCGACGAAATGGTTGCTATGGCGACCGAGGTACGCGCAGCACGTCCTAGGGGAACGCAAGGAGTCGTCGTGTAGTCATCGCATACAAACGCAAATGTACGTACCAGCCCTGAAGTGCCACAAGAGTGTCATTCCTAATATTATCTATAGTCAGTTATACTGGTTAAGAAAAAAAATTGAGGGGAAGGAGGGCTGGGTGGGGAGGAGGAAGCAAACCGAATGGTGGAGAGAAAACCCTTTCCTTTCCTCTTTCCAAAGTTCCGTCTGCTTCCTCCTCCCCAGCCTCCCTTTCCCTCGAAAACTTTTCTTCCTGCGGAATGCAGGCAAGTGCACGTTGCTGATGCAAGCTTCCGAACCAATCGGCAAACGCACTCAGGGCTATGATCAGAAGGGCCAAAGATAAATCTGAACGAGCGCCGTGCCGGCTTGCGTCCCCTTGTCACTACTGCATGGTGCATGTTAAGGATGCCAGGCTAGCAGTTGCTGTGCACTGACTAAATTTTTCATCTACCATGCCATTTTAGGTAGCCGTCGGTGTCTAAACATACCCTAACACAGTTACCTTTGAGGGCAACCTTAACAATTTGTTAATGAAGAGAGATACGAAAGGATTGGCAGCCCAGTAATGCTACTAGAAGCGGCAACTATGAGTGAGGCCCGACACATTTAGGGAACATGGCAACGACAGCAGTGCAACTTCGTCAACAGTCGGCCGACTTGTTCGTTGTTTGATCCATTGCCTGGCAACCCTTTCACATGGCAGGAATAGTGCCACAACGTAGAAGAGGGAACCTTGTTTCAGTGTGACAGGTTTGGCCAACCGTAACGAGCAACAAACAGCGTTGGACATTGCACGTTGTCTGGCTTAATGGCCATGTGTTTTTCGTTCCCACAACGGGAAAAAACAGGTAAGTTTCATGGTAGAGGGCCCAGTCAGTAGCATGTTATGTGTTTTCCAGGAATTTACCCAATAAAGCCTGACTGATGCTATTTAATTGTAGTCGTGCCTCATGTGTAGCCGACATATAATTTTATGAATGCTTTCCTATTACATAGTTATCAAAAGCAGTTGTTGAAACGGTCACAGCTACAGGCTGTAATGGTGAAACCATCGTTAAATTGACTAATTGCTGGCAATGATCTGCCCATATTGTCGCTGCTCACGGGTGTTTGTTGGTAAACAAATTCTCCGCCACACCCTATTGGTGAATCCCCGCACACTTCTGGTTTTTTGTTCTTTTGCATTCGTTTTGTAAGGTATCTTGCTCAAAACATGTGCATCGTTCTGCAAATGTATCAAAATTGTTGTCACTCGAAGAAGCATAATCTTTCCCAATTGCTGTGCATTGAAGAAGAAATAAACGCTACTGGAAGGCTGGAGCACAGAATGCTGTGGTGTCTTTACCCCATATATTCACTCTGAACGCGTAGAAACTGAACGTGCCTACTAACTAATTAGTTGAAAAAATATTGTAAACAACTTGATTTTCATGAGGACCTCATTTTTGTGACTTAGAAAGTATCGTAAAAAATCAATGACACAAATATAATAGCCCATGGTATTGAGCACACTGCATATCCTAAATCGCATGATATTCCTGAAATCCACCTTTCGCTAAATATTCAGCTCGCAAAAATAAAGTTTAACTTTATTTAACTGGAAAAATCTTGTGTTTCTTTCTTACTTTTCAAGGTGCAGATTGCGAGGGCGAGAGACAAAATAAAGAGTGTGGGGCGCCGTCCGCCGCTTTCGTCGATGACGTGGCCGAAGTCTCCTTACCACGTGATGTCCAGTAGTGGACGAGCAGGACCAAGGTTTCGGTTTCGCTTAGGGATTTTCGTTTAAACGAGGATTGTGAGAAAACTATATAATTTTTCGGAAAACGAATAACATGGAACTGTTTATTAGTAGTTTTGACCTTATAATCACCCGTAATCCCAGGACTTTTGGAATTGACCGGAGTTGCCCTTCACCGCTCGTCCCAGGGAGGCTGACATGCTTCCCTCTTTTTGCAGGGACGTCCTTCTGGAGCTGTCCCAGTGCAGCCACCCGGTGGTCATGAAGGACCTGTGCGCCGAGTGCGGAGCTGACCTTAGGCAGTAAGCTGGGATGAGGGGTCTCACTCTGCTTGCTTTTTTCCGTTGCTCAGGGTCGTTCACGGCAGGCGGAAGCACTTGAAGGGACCGTAAAATATTCCTCGGACTTTGGCTTTATAAAGCATGGTTTGCACACACTTTGCAGCACTAATAAATTGCTAATTCAGAGCAGGAAACACTGCTAACGTTATTGTTCATGCAGCACTCGCTAATATAGAATGGCTGCATTAGATCCAAAGTTGGAAAACGAGCTGGAAAGGCCGGTGTCTGCACCGGTCTTTCCAGCTCGTTGAGCACATAAAATGTTCAAACTTTCACCGAATATACATTGAAGCGGGCGGTTCTTGCCTCGTGAAATTTTGAGGCATAGTTTTCTTTGTGCAAAAATGCAAAAAATAAGACCAGCAAACTTGCTGAGGTCATTGGTGGACATGTTTGCAGATGATTAAGTTAGCTATGAATGTAACTTGTGGCACCATCTCTTGATAGGTGCAACTAGCAGACAACAGAGTGCATCGCCTGCTCGATGCACCTATCAAGTCATGGCGCCACACATTACATTTATCACATTATCACATACGATGATCAGGGACCATCAGTTATTTTATCCACTTTCTTTCTTTTTTTTCTCTTATGGGCTCTTTTTTTTATTATTGGTGCGTTTATTTGATAGCTAGACTCCATTTAAAGAGAATGCGCCGCAGAAGCACATGCATAAATCACTACCTCGGGCATCTGCCAACACTTCCACCGTTGACTCTGGCAAGTTTGTTGATCCCATTTTTACACGAAGGAAGCTACAGCCTCGAAATTTCAGAAGTTAAAACCGACCACCGCAATACACATTTGGTGGAAGTTTGGGCTGTCTATGCGCAGGCACCGATTTTTCTTGCTTGCTTTACAGTATAAGGTTCACTGTAGCCATCCTATGTAGTGCTGATATAGCTGAGGGGAGTGGTGGGGGTGTAGCCAGGAATTTTTTTCGGGGTCGGGGAAGGGGTGGCGAAGGGCTGAGGTTCAAGAGGGTAAGGGGAGGGGGGCGGGTCAAAATGCACGTGTATAATATGGGGTCGGTTAGATTTCAGGAGGGGGGGGGGGGGGGGAACTAGACCACTGATGAGCGACTTCAGTGACATACCTACGGCCTCGCAAGAATGTGTGCCGTTCTTTCTAGCAACCCTAGCCAACATAAGATCCCACCGCTGCTTGGCTGCTGAAGGCATTCATTCATCTTTTTAACATATAATATGTCTTTTGGCTTGGAGGGTAATTCTGAAGGGAGGTGCGATGTCGGGGACAGACATAACACACATTCTTTTCTCCCTAAATTTAGCGGGAAAGCTTACCACGTCGTGTCACGTGGCATGTCGATGTCAAGTGGCATTCCACTAAATTTAGCGCGAAAGTTTATTATGTCGCGTGACGTGATGGTTGTGGCGTGACGCGACAACGTGTTGCCTGTGAACGTATTCAATGTTCGATAGAGCTTGGCAGGAGCCTACGTATTTGTTGCTTTCATTTGGGCAGAAGAGGCACGAGCATTTGAGGAGTCTCCTGAAATCGCCAGAGAGGAGACTCTAGGGAGCCAAGGTTGTCTGCAGACTATTCCATCTTTGGCCTTCTTTTCTTCCAGACTCGGGGATCTGACACCTGCTTCGGTCAGCATGATCCATAACGTGCCAGAGCTACGGGTCTCCCAAGAGGCGAGTGGATTGTCCTCGGGCCTTTTCGCTGTCAATCCAAGCCGTATTGTGTTCCTAACTTCATTGGCATAGTTTAGCAGACGATGCATTGTTTCAGACTTTGCCGTATCCTCGACAAAAATGAAAGCCGTTTACAATTTCCTGTAACGCCGGTTAGAGCGCAGCTCTTGAGGAGGAAGATGGAAGCGTACTGAGGGATAGGTGACTCCTTGAGGTCACGTGACCTCAGGGGGGTCACGTGACTTCAGGTGGTCACGTGACCTCCGGGGGTCACGTGACCTCAGGGGCTCACGTGACCTCAGGGGCTCACGTGACCTTTGGGGGTCACGTGACCTCGGGGGTCACATGATCCCCAGAAGTCACGTGACTTCAGGGGGTCACGTGACCTTAGGGGGTCACGTGACCTCAAGGCGGTCACGTGACTTCTGGGGGTCACGTGACCTCAAGGGGTGAGGTGACCTCGGGGTCACGTGACCTCAAGGGGGTCACGTGACTTCAGGGGGTCATGTGACTTCTGGGGGTCACGTGACCTAGGGGTGTCACGTGACCTCGGGAGGGTCACGTGACCTCGCGGTTACGCCGACGCCGCTCAAGCCGGAAACGGGCCCCTAAGAGCTGCGCTCTAAAAAGTTAAGCGTAGACCCCACAGTCTTAGGTACCTTGAGCCTAGCAGACATACCGGTAGTTGCCAAATCCATTCACCCCTAAGCTGACAGTGTGGTGGAAGCCACGCGTTGGCTAGACCAATCAACCGCCTTCCTTTCGTCGCCTAACCCTGCTCTTTGAGCATGGGTGGAAGCGTGATCGTGTGGCAAAAGATAAGCGTACAATTGGCCCGACGAGCTCGTAGTTCCGCGTAGAAAGCCGACCTCATTAGCTTTCCCCGTGGAGCTGCAGGTGTCGTGGGCCTATACCGCCTAGAAAACAAGAGGCCCGCACATTATGTCATCGTAAGGAGATGTTGGACCCTCCCCAAGCGGCAAACGGGCCGATGCACGACGAAAGGACATGGCGAAGCGGATGATGCAAACGTCTTGGGCCTTGTGCCAAATCTTGCTCGAGTAGATCCGAATGACTCCCACGTGTCACGTCACGCGACGACGCGGGCGGAACGGACACCGAATGCAAGTAGTTTTTTGAACGTCGAGATGCAAAACATTTATACTATGGAAAGAGATAGATTACATTTGGAGCATGGCCTTGGCATCGTCGCGTGCTGGCGTCCTGCCCCTCACGAGATGCTGCGAGACATGCTCGAGGCGACACCGACATGAGATAGCCGGCGCTGGGTGAGTTCACTAGTGATGACGTTAGAGGAGGAAAGGCCTTGCCTTTCAGGTGGTATTAGTGGACCAAACGCTCCGCTTCATTTTTGCGCAACCTCTCGCAGAAAGCACTGCTTTTGCGGGAGGCTGGGCTTTTATTGCGTTGACGAACGAGAATCAAGGAGGCGTAGATGCAAATCAAACCAAATTTGGGACTTCACGCGCCAAATCAACGAAGGGCACCCGGCGTGCTGCGGCGAAGAGCCAAAGATGAACTTCGACCATCCGGGGACCTTTTGATGCGCGACCGAAATCTCAGTTACACAGCTGACCGTCGCCTTCTCCGCAATAAGCCTCTGCCGGATTGCGGGCACCTCGGCTCAGATTCAAACCTGCCTCCCTGGGATACGTAGGCGGGCGCTTTGCCTTGCCGAGGCAGCTTAAGAGTCGAGGCGGCAAATTCGGTGGATGCCGGCGGGACCATTTCTTGCGCGATGCCAGGCAGGTGCCGACGCACGCTTCTCTGCGCAGCAAGCCCGGCAGCTGGGCAAGGCGGACGAGGAGCGACTGCGGCGCTCGCGCAAGCTGGTGCTGCTTGTGGACCTGGACCAGACGCTGGTGCACACCACTAGCGACAATGTGCCGGCAGACATGCAGGTGAGTCTACGCGCCCAAAGACGGCCAACGGAGACCGGTCACCCCCCGGACAGCACGGTGGATTAAAAGGGCACTGAAGTGGTTTCTGAGATTGTCTATTCACGGTCATAGCTCTCAGTCTTTATACTTAAGCTTCCTAAAAAATTTGAGATTACATTGATACGTGTCCCATTTCCCTATTAAAAACGGGATTAAAGATCACGACATGCCTGTTTTTCTGCGATTCGGCGCTGAAAGCAGAGGGTGCTGTCGGACGTGCGACAGCCAGTCACGAGAAAGTGCTTCCTGCGCGGTGAGGGGCCAACCAGCGATGGTCGGATTTTCGAATGTGAACAATCAGCACGCGGGAAGCAATTGCTCGCAATTAATCGTCGTACATCCGATGGCTGATCGCTCGTGATCGATCGTTGCACGTCCGACGTAGACCTCTGGTTTGTGCGCCGCAAAAACACTAGCGTGTTGTAACCATGTCCCCCATTTTGAATATAGAAATCGAACATGTATTAACATGACCTTTGTTTTTTTTAGAATACTTTGAGCCCATACATTGAGCTTCGACCTTAAGGGGGGACACTACCCAAAAAAGTAAATTTTTGAACCAGTTGTCTGATTTAGATTATATTTACAGGGGCTTGTTTTTGTTGATGTTGAGAACATTTCTGCCAACCTTTGTTAACCTGGGTGAAGTACAAAAAACTGCAATAGGTGACCGGCGTTTGAGCCGGAAGTTTCGTCATCCGAAGCGAGGCACCACGTGACTTCACGCTTCCGGTTCGTCCGGTGCCGGTCGTGGTTCGGCCAGTTGCATCGAGAGCGCTTCTAGGCGTGGAAGCCGTGCTGTATTCGCAGTGAAAATGGTTTACAGCTCCGCAGTACGTTGTTCTAACGCTAGCCATAGAGGGCATAAAATGTTCCAGTTCCCGTGAAACAAAGCATGGAAGCAACGATGGGCCGTCGCTGTTAAGCGAGTAATGGAGCGAGGTGCCTTGTGACAGACAAACGTCGGTGACCGTTTATGTGCGGCCAATATTGTTACAGGCCAGTACAACCTGTTCTCTCTTTCTTCAGGTAGGGGCCGTGGGAAATAACGGTCTCTAACAGTCTTTTGGCACCCACCAAAAAGGTCTCGATTAATCCGCGAAGGGGTGAGCACTGCTTGTCGTACAAGGCATCCGCGAGAAAGCGGGATGCGATCTCACAGGCAATCAGTTCATGGCACTGCGTTTCGTCGACATGCAGTGCCATCGCCAAGCCGTTTAATCGTTACATCGACAGCTCGGATTAACATTTTCTGTGATGAGCCGCCGCAGACTGTTCCCGCGAAGCAGCGTGAATGGGTGGCTTGCTATAATATAAATAAACAAAAGGACAGGTCAGCTTTTTGTAATATAAAGAAACAAAAGCAAATGGGCAGCACCTTCATATTGATTGATAATCAAGCGGCAGTGCAACCCTGCGTAGCTCATATCAAAATCAGTACTCGTTTATGCATGCTTGCTTACTGGACATCATTAAAAGAACGTGCGGGAAGGGGGGTTATCGTAGTTCACGGGGGAAAACTTTGTTGAAGTACCAAAAACGCGTGAGTGTTAAAAAGCAAGGATTGTCAACGTAGTCAGATGTCGTCGAAACTAACTTTTGTACGGAAGCGGCGTTTCAATCGCGTGAGAAAACATATTAGAAACGCCGTTTGACCGAATTATTTCCCTGTCTTCAATTTTTGGTTGCTTGAAGATTTTCTTACCCCCAGACTCAGGTGTTCTAATAAAATGAGAAAGTACGCCAGACTTCTGATCGGGACTTTCAGCTGGCCGCGTCCCACGGCTTGCATTCGCGCCCATTTCAATCGCTGATGTGATCTAACGTAACCATCAAAAATAAACAGAACCCAAATGAAAAATGCTGGCTCAAAAGGAAAACGAAACATCTAACCTGAGTTTTCATGCGAAGATCCGGAAAGCGCGGTGCGAGTGCAGCTTGCCGCCGGCCGCACTCGCTCTGCGCTTTCTTGGCCGTTCTCGATGCTTCTGCGTATCGATTACTACTTAACATATCCGTAGAAGTAACTTGAGACGTTCAGAAGTGCGTAAGTCACCCAGCAGCAGAGGAAGGTGGCCCGGGTTGATCGGGTTTCAACGCCCGCACACGCTTCCATAGCCGTCATGGGGCTGCGTCGGCTGCTAGCTACGAACTGGAAGTGAATACTACCCAGAGTGCTTTGAGGTTGCTGCCAAACGCCGGTCACCTATTGTACAGGGTGCGCACAGGTCCTGAAAACCCTTGAAAACCCTTGAATTTAAAAATTGGGTTTTCAAGGCCCTTGAAAATCCTGGATTTTTCGTTAGACCTTGAAAACCCTTGAATTTGAAAATTTGGTTTGCAGGGCCCTTGAAAGCCCTTGATTTTTTTGGCTAGACCTTGAAAATCTGTGAATGGCTATTTATAAAAAACAAATTCGGGTATGTATTGTTTATTTTTATATGCTTATCGTTTTTGTTTCGTTTTGGTTTAAGTTATCTCTATTTGTTTAGATTTAGCCGATATTCATTGGATGGTTGGCCACATTGGAGCAGACCCGAATCCATAGAGATCATACCCCGAATCCAATCTCATCCGGGCACTGTTTCCGCCATTGGCCTCATGTTTTGTCGTCGGTCGTTGCAAAATGCCCGGCAAAAGCAAGTTTCAAGGCGCGTGGCTGTGCAGTGATGAATATAAGGACTGGGTGGCTCCAGATACGACAAATCAGCATCGTGCAAGATGCAAGCCGTGCGGAAAAACCTTCGATGTCGCCGCAATGGGCGAATCGGCATTGAAGAGCCATATGAAGAGCGCTAAACATACCGGCATCATGAAGATCGCAGCCAACAGCTCGGTGCACAATTACCTGGCTCCGGGCACGAGTGAACGATCCGCTGTCCCGCCTCCACCGCAGTTGCCAAACATAAACGCTGCTTGCAAGACGCACGAGTTGGTGACAAACGCCGAAGTGTTGTGGACTCTGAAGGTCGTCACATCCCACTGTTCTTACCGCTCATCATCACAATCGGGCAAGTTGTTCCAACACATGTTCCCAGACAGTGAGGTGGCAAAAGCGTTTTCTTGCGGAGGAAAGAAATGCGCCTATGTGACGTGCCATGGACTGAGACCTTTCTTTCTAACGGCCTTGCAGCGGGAAATCGACCAGTGTGAGCACTACGTGGTGCTTTTTGACGAGTCTTCAAACGACTATTTGCATCGCAAACAAATGGATGTGCACGTAAGGTGTTGGGACTCGTCTCACAAGGTGACAACAAGGTACTACAACTCGGTGTTTATGGGGCACTCCACGGCCGAGGACATACAAGAAAAGCTGTTGAGCGCACTCGAACCTTTGCCTCTTGAGAAGATCCTTCAGATATCGATGGATGGTCCCAATGTCAACTTGAAGTTCTTTAAGAACTTCCAAGTGCACCTGCAAGAAGCGTACCAAGTTCTGTGTGTGGACATTGGCACCTGTGGCCTCCACACAATGCACAACGCCTACAGGGCAGGCGTTGCATCAAGTAGGTGGGGATTAGATTGCTTACTGTCTAGTCTGAGCGCACTGTTTGAGAGCTCTCCAGCAAGGAGGGAAGACTTTACAACAGTCACTGGGCAGGAAACATCTCCCCTAAAGTTTGTTCCTCACCGCTGGGTAGAGAACGTCGCGGTAATTGAGAGAGCCTTGTTGTTGTGGTGCGACATCAAAAAGTTTGTTGAGGCTGCAAGAAGCAAAGAAGTAAACCTGCCAAAATGTGGATCTTTTCAGAACTTCGTTGAGTTCTGCAGCGACTCTTTGGTGCCGGCAAAGCTCAACTTTGCACTGGGTGTTGCCATGGCACTCAAGCCATTCCTAACAGAGTATCAAACAGATAGACCGATGGTCTTCTTCCTTGCAAGAGATTTGGAAACTGTTGTCCGGAAACTGCTAACAAGGTTTCTGAAGTGCTCAGTCTTGTCAGCATCAAAAGGACTCACCGGCCTCCTGAGGGTGGACATTGAGAACCCGGACAATCATACTCCAATTGAAAAGGTGGATGTAGGCCATACAGCTGAGCAGATCGTCAAAAAAGCCAAAGCCAGTTTGAAGGACGTGTTTCAGTTCCGGATGGAATGTAAACAGTTCCTGATCGCCGTGGCAAAGAAAGTCCTAGAGAGAAGCCCCTTGAAATTCCCAGTGGTTAGGGGCCTCTCCTCATTGGACCCACGACAGATGTGTTCAAGGCCAGATGAGTGCCTTCCTGGTTTTAGAAAAGTGTTGGACGTCCTCATCACCGCAGGGAGGATGACTGATCACCAACGAGACACGGTACTGGCACAGTACACCGAGTTCTTGCAGGAACAGAAACATCACCTGCGACTCTTTGAAAAGAGCGTGAACAGGATAGATGAGTATTTCTCTGAGCTCATGAAGTTTAATCCATCGTATACAGAGCTCTGGAAAGTAGTTAAACTCTTGCTTGTCCTAAGCCATGGACAGGCAACTGTGGAGCGAGGGTTTAGTGTAAACCGCCAGGTTTCGGTAGAGAATCTGAAGGACCTTTCCTACGTCTCTCAACGGATTATGTGTGATGCAGTGGAAAAGGCAGGTGGTGTCCTCAACATCCCACTTACGAAAGAACTGTGCATATTTGGAAGTGCATATTTGGAAGCAGAAAAAAAGAAGCAGCGTGAAGATGTGAAGCAGGCAAAAAAGCGCTGCATTGATGAAGAGATAGACACCATGAAAGCAAGAAAGAGGAAACTTGAAGCAACTATAGCTGATCTCACAGCCTCAGCAGATGCCTACGCAGAAAAAGCAGAAAAAGCAAATGACCTCACATACATTGTAAAATCAAACAGTCTTAGGAAAACTGCAAAAGCAAGGCCGAGGAGCTGCTTAGCATCAGCCAACAAATACAGGAAAAGCTGCAGGAGCTTCCCTGAAGTTACCACAAGTGGTTTTGCAAACAATTTTTATTTTGGCTTAGTGCAATGCAAACAAGTTTGCAAGAAATATTTTTTTCTTTTTGTTTAGTGCAATAAAAATGATACCTACGATCTTTTGACATGAGTGCTTTATTGAAATCTGTCATGTGTGGCACCGAGTTAGGTCCTTGAAAATACTCCCACAGGGCCTTGAAATTCCTTGAATATCCTTGAATATCTTTCTTTGAATCCTGTACGAACCCTGTTGTAGGAAAACTATTGTTTTGAAATTACTTATAAATTTGCTGTTTTCATGTGTTATATTGCATTAGGACTGTTCAGAGCAGATAACTGTGGAGCTATATTTCTAATTTATACCATCTTTCATGACCAAAAAGCCACATAAACACATATACAATTTTTTAGATTTCCATCCTTTGTGCAAAATTTTTGTTTTTGAGCACGAAAAATGACAAAATTAAAAAATACAAGCTCATAGTTATCTTCACCTTAAAATTTCACCCCAGAAAAACTTATTAAAATGAGTCCAAGTTACGTAATAACAAAACAATAGTTTTCCTAAAGTGAAATTTATGCCAGAAAGTGGAATGGAGAAAAGTGCATTCAAAGTGCTCCAACCTCTACCTTTTCTTTAGCATCGGTACACCAAAAATAAATTATAAAAAAATAACTATGCAGTACAATCTAATGAAACTTTCTGGGAATACCCTCTAGATGTTGGTGGATGTAAATATAACATTTTTAAAAATTAATGTTTTTTTGCAGAAATTGTTTTTTCTGGGTAGTGTCCCCCCTTAAATAGAAGATCTCTGAAACTGCTTTAGTGCCCCTTTAATGTTCCGCGATATTGTGATAAAGCACTGCGTGTGTTTCCCTTTCCTAGGTGACGCCTTCTTGATTTTAATACTAGATAAATAACTTACGCATCCTGTTAAATTGGTGCCAAGAGAGGCAGATGTAATTATTGTCTGGGAGTTTGACACACAAAAATTGTCCTCAAATACTGGCCGCACCCTGTACGCCGATAAACCTCGAAAAGTAACCCTCGTAGCTGTTTTTATCGAAATCGGAGCAAACCAAAATTTTCTGAATTGAAAACCAACATACCTCCGTCCTCTGGCAAGCATGATGCACTTATCCATTAGTGGCTTTCGATTTGTCGGACTTTGCCACTCTCGGCCGCCCACTATTTTTATGGTTTTGATGGGTGCTCATTTTTGTGTTAATGTTTCCCTGCAGTTGTAATTTTTGGGGGGTAAAAATGTGCGAGAACGATGATGTCGTCGTTAAAAGAGCGCTCCTTTAGCCTGGGTTACACCGATCCTGACATTTCCAAAGACACAAGTTGGATTCAACCCGCGCCAAACAATTCAAATGAAGCACTCTGTACGAAGTGCTGCAAGAAGTTATCTTTGAGCTACCCGAGGAAAATGGCAATTTCTATAGCAACGTTCTGGGTACGAAAGGCCAAGCTGCTACGAAATCGCTTGCAACGGAGTCGCCGTACCTAAAAGATTGGCCGTGTCTTTGGCGTTTCCCAGGGGCACTATAAATGTGTAGCATTTAGAACACCCACTCATGTCCTCTCGAAACCACAGTCTGTTGCGCACACTGCACTGACTGGGCTTTTTGCGAACCAGTGCCTGAACCACCGGTTGACCGTCTTGAATGGCAACCAGCTTCCCGCCGCTGTTAGGCCCCTCGTCTCTCGCTCCCCCCTCTCCACCCCGCTGCGCCCGCCATCCTCGCTCCCACGCCACCTCTGGTGGTATGCAAAGCCCACAGCAAGAGCCTTCGTTGTACGTCTACTCCACTTCGCCGCTGGCGAGCGCGCACTGAAGAGAGTCCCCGCTCTAATAAAAGTCCTCACCGTTAGCAAGGTGCCGATAACGCACCTTCGACTGCTCCGTTTGCCGCGTCCCAAAGAGCGGTCTCTCGATTTTCGCCCCAACGCTCTCGTTCGCTGGGACTCGTAGTGCCGACCGCCAGGACAGCGACATCAGACAGCGTGGCACTCCTGCGAGCTCATTTGTGGCCACTTTCGACGTAACGCTAAATGCTCCAGTCAGATGCGCGTTCCAGGCGCCGTAACGTCCATACCGCACGCTCAGCGTTGCACGCTCTGTGGAAGCCCCGTGCTCAGACACAAAAGCGCTAGGGCTAGCCGTATAAATGCCGCGCATATAAAATGACCGACTAACGACGTCACGAGTCGTAATTTGCCACCCCTTTCCATTCATCAAAGCGACGGCCGCAACCCGTGCCCACTGATACCAGCAACGCCAACCTTCTAAGCTCCGTCGTTTTGAGGTGGCCAAAATATGTGGATTCATTGTGCGAACTCTGTGTGTTGCAGGGGGTGCACCACTTTCAGCTCTACGGACCTCACTCCCCCTGGTACCACACGAGGGTTCGGCCGGGAACGCGCCACTTCCTCGACCAGGTGCTTCATCCCTTTCAGTCCCTTTTGCCGCACGCTGTGCCCGAAAACGGGCCACCTCCCGCCCTGTTTTGTTTTGCTTCAATAATTTTCACTCTGCACCAGCACGGTTTGTGTCGAAGAAAGTTGTTCTATTCATGTGGTTTCCTGAAGCGAGACTTATATCGTAGACCGCTTTCAAAAGTGTGCCCAAAGTGCCTCGCATTCAGTTGTGGCTCGGTCGCACGAGCCCTTGTGCAGTTGGAGCAAAGCTTGAAGCTAGCTGCTCAAGCTACTTGCACATTTCGCAGTGTTGGTTGGCGAGAGAAATGCGATCACTTTTATTAATCTTCACTTCACGAGCCCCCTCCTCAGCGTGGTGGTTCCTTGTCAGCCTCTCAATCTCAGGGTCCTTGGTTCAATTCTTATCGGGGGACATTCAGAATTGTGTTCTTCTCAATTTATCCCCTTATCACTCTCCCGCGCGTGCCCATTCTTTTTGCATTACAAATCCGAATTTTCCTGGGGGGGGTACTGCCGAAAGAATTGCCGTCGCATTTAAAAGTGCACAAACTCTCCACGCCTGTCGAGCTAACCCAGACTGCATCAGCCGCCGCTCCTAGCACAGCGGTGAGGGGTGGCAAAGCTAGACGCAAGCGATGTCAAGCTTCTCGTTGACCTAACTGCATTTCAGCTCAAGTAGCTGTAACTGTAGCTTAAAAGAGCCGAAGCTCCTTAAAAGAAACTGAGTTAGGAGCGGACCTTTATAGACTGTTCCCTGAATTTGTTTGCTGCTCACAAGCATGTCATTGTGGTTGTGCCGCTCTATGGCAGAGGCTGTAGAGGTCTTGAAGCCGCCTTACGCCTTTTGAATGCAGCTGAACGCTCCTTTCTCGTCTGTGTCAGTGTCAAGAACTTTGTTAGGCAAAAAACATATAAAATAGTTCTTGGTTCACCAGATGCAGTTTGACAAGCTGAACTGATTAATGCTTTGTTTTTTTAATTGGTCAAAAACTGGTGGTATGAGACGAAAATGTGAAATGTTCGGACTTGGTTTATTGCAAACGGGTTGGCACGCATTGATGCGCGTGCACTGCAGTACCTCTACTGCAATGCCTGGAGCGCCCTCAAATGTGGTCTTTCGATTTCTTCCCGATGATGTCGTAGAAGTGCAATCCCGGCGGCGTCACGGCAGCGCTGGTTGACGTGGCAGACGCCTGTTCTGCTGCAGGTCGTTCTCCAGATTGACAGTTCACGGAAGCTACGACAGCCAGGAGTCAGGATTCAGCGACGACGTTGACAATCGCTTTTTGCTCTAAACTTCTCTTACCAGCCGCCAGGGTCGCGACATCCGACTGCACGACACGCTGGCCCTCGATACATCGTTCGTTGCCACTTTGGTTCGCTTTTGATCCGTGGGCAATGTCTAAACGCACCAGTCGAAGACGCGTTCTAGGCACCACACCTCTACTTAGAATTGCAGGCAATGACAACATAGCAGATCCAATTCACATTTTAACGTGAAACCTCCTTCGGCTAGGCGTTTGGCATTTCGTGAAGCCCAGATAAAAGCGTGGCCGTGAGGCTCGACACTGATTGGTCGACGGGTGGGAAAGGAGGAGCGAGGTTCTCGACGCCAGTTGGTTATGGGGAGGTCGCGTGACCAGAGGGGTAGGCGAGGAGGAGCTCCACCACCTGTGCGCCTTGAGGGAGAGGAGCTCGAGAGTATGGAAGGCTCTGGAAGATCACCGGGTATATCAACCCAGTTAGCGGTAGTATCGCTTCATTCTTGGAACAACTATAGAGCGCCGTGAACATGTCTGTCTGGCAACTGGAAACTCAATCGCTAAGCGTTTGTGAATGTTTCATGTATGCAACACAATGACTTGCGATTTGTCATAAATTTTCATCACACTTTTTCTTAGAACAAATTGGTTTCATAGATTTACTGCCACGTCACGGCCTAAGATGTTTTCGCATGGAGAGAGGTGGTCCGAGAGTAGACGCGAGGACTCCAATGGAGTGCAACTGTGCCTGGACGCCCGAGGACCTTGTGCCCCGCAGGTGTCGGAACTGTACGAGCTGCACATCTGCACGTTTGGGGCGCGTCCGTACGCGCACGCCATTGCGTCGCTGCTGGACCCTGAGGGGCGCTTCTTCTCGCACCGCATCCTGTCCCGGGACGAGTGCTTCAACCCCTGTTCCAAGACGGGCAACCTCAGGTGGGCGGCCATTTTGAGCTTGTTTATTCGTGGAGGGGGGGCTACTATTTTGGGGGCATTGCTTTTTCGTTCCTCGGGTGGGTAGCCATTTTGGCCAATCACCCACGTTGCAGAAACGATACAAATGCATTGTTTTTTCTGCCAACCATATTTTGCAAAAACTGATTCTCACAGCATACAAACTACGCATAAAACCGACTTTTTTTCTTGAGGAGGCAATGAGTGGGGTGTCTTTGCCAGGCGTCGCAACCCTGGCAGCTAAAACTGCACATACAGTCCCCATAGCTTTTATGCTTTAGAGTTCCGGAATCGCCGGAAAACACTGTACATCCTATGGAGCGAAGGCTTAACCTATGGTTTATCATAAAATATGTTTATATGTACTATCACAATCAATATGAGTGCAAACACCGCTCCGCAAGGCCCACGGTACTATCAGTGCCCCCTTGCGGTTGCTCTTTCAAGCATCAGTGCACCTTGCGGTCGAGACATATCGTCTCTAGCAACCGCCGCACCACTCTGCACTTCCGGGCCGTCTGCTAGCGAAAAAAAGCAGCACGAAAAAAAAAACAAGGACGTCCAATGTGTGTCTTCGTCCTCGTTGTTTTTATCGCGCTGTTTTCTACGATGAAGTGTATTACCCACGCTCGCACCGTGCTAACTTCTTGCCTATGCGCATTGGTGGTCTTTAGCTCTCACAAAACTTATGGGAAGTAAATAATAGGCAGTCTTAGTTGATTGTTTTGATACCTCCGATAACAATATGATGCATGCTTAAAGGTGTCGGCGAAGTATGGGTATTGTTATCGGAGTCATGAGAATAATCTACTAAAACTTCATATTAAAAAAGATGACGCTAAAAATATACAAGTAATTCCTCCTGGCGCACATTGCTAGCGAAAATTTCGCTTTGTCATTGGTGAACAGTTTCGCAGTTTTGCCGACCGTTTTTCGCTAGCAGACGACCCGGAAGTGCAGAGTGGTGCGGCGATCGCTAGAAACGATATGTCTTGACCACAATGTGCAATGATGCTTCATAGAGCAATTGCCAGAGGGCACTGATAGTACCGCGGGCCACGCGAAGCGGTGTTCGCACTCATATTGATCGTGATAGTACATCAAAAGTAAAAGCACTGAACGGGTAGATGTAAAAGATGCTGAACCGAAATTGGGATTTCTCAAGGTAAGGCTGCAGAAGCATTAAACAAGACACTACGAGCTCCAAAACATCGCTCATACATCGATATCTCAAACGGGTGGCCGTATTTTTGGAAAAGAAGGGCGCAATCAAGCGATGACTATGGAGTCACAATCCTTCTGGAACAGTTGAAAATGAGGGGAAACAGCCTTACTTCTCTTCTTTTTGCTTCAGTTCACCATTTGATGGCACGGAGTGGAGAGGAGATGGAATGACAATCGTTCCGTGACGTGTCTCGTCAGCCCCGTCGGCCGCATTCAATCGCACGCTTCTTTTCCAAAAATACAGCCAAGTGTTGGAAATATCACTGCATAAGCAATGTTTTTGTGTTTTGCAGTGTCCCACCTATCACTTCAGTCTGGTTCTGTGAGCTCCCCAAATTTCGGTTCAGCATCCCTTTAAGCTGGGCTGCCTTCCAACTTGAATGGTTTGGTCGTGTCTGCTTATCCTTCTGTCATCCTTTGTGATGGTCCGGTCCCCTCACTGCGGATGCCGCACGCGTGCAGGGCGCTGTTCCCGTGCGGGGACTCGATGGTCTGCATCATCGACGACCGGGAGGACGTGTGGAGCTACGCACCCAACCTGGTGGCCGTCAAGCCCTACCTCTTCTTCAAGGACACGGGAGACATCAATGCTCCCCCAACCTCGCAGGTGACCTTGCGTTCCGAGGGGTTTTGGTCGGGCCATTTTAAAGTCGTCGGATCCTGGGAAAGTAGCACCAAGCTCCCCGTACAGTCGCCATTTTGGTTCGTGGAATGAGCAGCTTCTCCTATACCCCTCAGTTCTTGGTGAGTGGATCCAAATTCCCGGTGAAGGGATGCTTTATAAAGACCTTTCTTGTATACCGAGGTTTTGCTACGCGCACACCGGCGAAACAAGCGTACATCTTCGTATTACCGCCACCACATGTGGCGTGGGTGCTTGGCAGCATTGAAAAATAATTTTCCTCTCTTTAAATACATGAGAAAAACTATCTTATTGTAAGAGATTCGTGAAGATTAGCTCGATCAATGGGCTGATTGCGCACAGTACCAAAGATGCTTATATTGGCGAAGAACGCTTTCGGTACGATGATGCACCATTGCGGCCTTGACGCGACTAATTCAGAACGACCCTTTCGAAGCTTTGAAGACTTGAATGGACCAAAATGGCGATTGCCTTGGAAATTGAGACCAATCAGCCAATTGCCTTGCGAGGTTTGGTCGTCTGCATGTTAGCATCTGTTTGTGTCCGGCTAGCAGGCAGAGAAGGTAAAGGTGCTACTTTCTCAGGAGTCAGAGATTTTAGGTCACACTGGCTATCCGGTGAACTGACCTAACCTAGTGTGGCCTGACCAAACGTGGCCTAACCTAACCTGACCTTGTCTAACCCTGTACTTTGTACCTTGAGTGTAAATAAGTAAATAAACCTAACCCATTTAGACTTTATTTAACTTAACCTAACCTAACCTAATCATTGGCATCCAGAGTACAGTGGCTGAAATGCATCCTAAGCCGGCGTGTTTACCGTCCTATACCGCCCATACGTTGAAAGTGGTCCCAAAGAGGCGACAAATGGCGTCGCAGGAGCCGGAGCTAACGCAAACAGTTGTTTGTTGGTTTTTGTTCCTGTTTCGGTTCAATGCTAGGTAGGAAATCATATACTTTGAAAGATGCTTGCTTCATAGATTGGACTCGCAAGGCAGGATCAAACATTTTTCTAAATTTCGTGTACTTGACGATGGAAACGGTTGATTTGCTTAGGGTTTGATGGTCACTGTGGTGAGCTCTGGATCTGAAGGTCTGTGAAGACGGCGCTTGGCAGGATATGCTTTTAGCACAGCAGAGGTTAAGGGTTCTTGGTTTCGATATCAGCGTTAGTACGGTAGAGCCAACATCGAAATGAAATAGAACATTGTTTATTTCTCATTTCTCATCTTGCCAGTGCCGGTGAATAGCTCTCTGCTGCAACCGCTCTCAATGGTAGCCCAGAAACCAGTCGAAAACCCTTTGCTGTCCCTAGGTCTTTCATCCCTGCGCTAAATAATTGGTAAACATAAGACGGGCATGCACATGGGCTAATATTATCTTCTTTCTAAGTCATCCGTTGGTTTGAGGACAGGCAAAGAAACAAAGCACACTGCTCAGTCTGCCCACAGATCCAGCCTGCGAGGTAGTTGTTACTCTCGTCACAAAACAGCATGGGGCAAAAAAAATATGTTGTGGGCATCTCAACGTGGCAAATTGAAAATTGAACAAAACGTTTGCTTCCCCTATTTTTTGATTCGGCAAAAGTTAGACGCAAGGCGAGCGTGTGAGCCGGCTGGTTTGGTAAACTATTCCAGTGTGTTCTTGCGATGGGTCAAGCGAAGTAATGCAGAAGCTTGTGACATTTGCCACAAGCTAATGCTTTTTCTCAATAGACTTCTTGCCAAATTACCCGTATGCCAAGGAGAATGCCGGGAACATGGGTGGACGCATTGCACATGCTTGTATTATCAATATAAAAAATAAATTGCAACCGACAGCTTGAAGTGTGCTGTGATTGACAGCAGTACTTGTTGCAACCTGGAAAGGCACATGGAAGGAGATTTGCCTTCAGCCAGTGTGCTGTACAATGTTTTGCTTTCAGTTAAACTAATGTAGGAGACGTGTGTGAGGAGATGTGTGCTTTGGTGGAACGATTGTGCGAGAAGTTGCATGTGCTAAAAAAAAAAAAAAGACACGCTTTTTCTTTTTTTTTTGCTGAAATGTTCTAGGACGGGGGTGCCTGTGATCGCGCCTAAGATGGGAGAAGCGAAAGTAGCAGTGTATGCGAGCTGTTCCGTAGAGGCATGGAGAGCACACGACAACAGAACCTGGGCGGTGGCAGTGAGGCGGCGAGGGAGTGTTTACGCGCAGTGCGACCACAAGGGTATTTCGCAACAGCGACTGCCGGAGGGGGGGTGGTGGGGTGAAGGAGGGGAGAGCGTCGCCGGAGGGTATGTGGGGAACGATGGGGAGGTGGAGAGCGCTCTCCTCACAATTGTATTGGTTTTTCAGAACAGCGGAGGCCTACAGCAGGGAAGGGGGGGCGAGGGAGGTGAGCGAGAGAGAGAGTATCTTGCTGCAGTTGGCATGTGTGTCAGGAATGATGGGGCAAGGGAGAGCAGTGTCTGCCGTAGAGTGGGGCTTTGCGTTCGTGCATGAACATTTTTTGCCGGGAAGGGGCACTAACAGTTACCTCCGTAAAAAGATTATTGCACGTGCAAAGTGGCATTTATTTAAGGTTTTTGCTTCGGGACAGTTTCTGCTGCAGATGCCTGCACATGCAGTGTCCGTAACTAAGGTCGCAGCATTCGTCTTGATGCTCAGATAATTTAGCGGAGAGTGCGTCGAGGCCGGTTCGCACATTTGAGTTTGACTGTGATCGACGGAACAATGACTGCTTGTAATGGCTTACGATGAGAAAGCACTAGAGAAGACACTGGCATCATCTATCAGGCACCCCTGGAATCCTTCTATTCGGCATATAACTATGCTGAAGGTTTTGCAGTTTGCGAGATCCCTTCCTATCTATCAGAAGTGGTCTTTTTTAACTAGGGTTTCATGTTTCCGTATAGTAAATTAAGAAAACACTTGCGGGTAAAATTTTCGGCAATTTGTATAGTCAATAAATGCCAAATTTCAATATCCCGGCATTGAAAGTACAAAGGAAAAGAAACCCCGAAGATATTTTACAATTATTTTGGTCGGAGCACGGGGTCCAATGGTTTCCTCTCAAATCTGTAATCATTGACAGAAAGAGATCTTACCTTTTATCTTGAGGCTCGTTTGGGAAAACGGGCCGTTGTACGGTACTTCTGGGTCACAACAAATGCCACTGTTATAGTTTCCAGTTTGGACCATACTATTTGTGCTTCTTAGAGGGAGGATGGGTTGTGTTTTCATAAGGTACCAATGCCAAACCCATCTGAAGAAATAAAATTTTATATGAGCACATTTTTTTAAATTTAGCAGCACATTTAAACCTGGATATATTAACCATGTTGGATTAACCAGAGACTGGGGTAGAGAAGAAACATCCAAAGCTAGAAAAGACAAAAAACAGACAGGATGACGTCGAGACGTCGTCCTGTAGATTTTCTGTCTCTTCTACGATTTGATGTTTCTTCTCTATCCCAGTCTCACGTTAATTCAACATGGTTAATATTTACCAGCTTGCCTGCACCCTTACAATATTTTCTGTGACCCTGATTTTATTTATTTTTATTTTTGAAAAACAGGAAATAACCAAATATAAAACTCAGGATTTCTGAGAATTGGTAATTTAACAAAAATAAACACCGATAGTCTTTGATATTTTGGCAAAACGTAAACTCTGAAAAGTGGCCTCTGCATTTGACAAAAAATAAACTCCAAAAACTTGCAACCCCGCTTATAACATTGTCGGAACTATTTAAGTGCACGGTGAAAATATAATATGTAAGATGTTCACAGATTGGAAGGGTTTCAGCGCTGCCTGACAGATGGCGCCACTGCGTTATCTCGTCATAAGCCGTCACAAGCGGTCTTAGCGCAGTCCATCACTGTCAAACTCACGTGTGTGAACCACCAGCCTTTAGGATGACCTGTTGAGACGGTCCGATGTGCAGATTGTCACGAGAGCATTTGGCGTTGCAGGAAGCCGCCGAGAACGCGAAATGGACCAGGGCCGGCGGGCGGACTGCGGAGGAGAGCCTCCCGACACGGTGCGGGGGCGCAGAAACCGAAGGTGCAACGGCCGGGCAGCGGGGTTCGTCTAAGGGGTCCGCCGAACGACCTGATGCCGAACAACCCGTTGACCGAGAGCACGGCGATCAGGACGTCCCAGAAACGTGCGTCTCTCCCGAAGATACGCCGGGGTCTCCGAAAGACGATTCTAAGGTCGTCGAGGAGGAGGACGACTCCAGTAAAGAACCGGGGCAGGTCTCGAGTTTTCGAGAGGGTCCTTCCGAGAGGACTCCAGGAAAAGCGACAGTTGACGACAACGGTAGCGGTGCCGTCGCCGAAAGCGCTGTCAAGACGGGAAAACTCGGAGAACTTTCAGACTGCGACGGAGGTACGGTCGGGGAAACCGGCGACCTTCCGACCGGTGTCAGATCGGTGGAATATGAGGAAAAGCTCGCAAACGAAGCCAAGGATGACCATCCGCCCCAGTCGTTGGAGAGCGGCGACGGCAAAGAAGCCAGGGATGACGGAGAGTGCGGGGAAGAACACAAAGGTGGGGCTGGGGAACCTGAAACCGTGGCAGAGAAGTCCAGTGAGGGAACAACCTGCGATGCGGAACCCGAACGCGTGTTGAAGTCTGGCCAGGAAACATCCGGTGATCCAGAACTCGAACCTGTCACAAAGTCTGGCGAGGAGGACAAAGCTGAGCGAGAAAATGACACTTGCGAAGCACCCAAGGACGACGAGGAGAATACACCTGGCGATGTGGAACTCAAACTCGTAGAGAAGTCCGGCGAGGAAACGTCTGGCGATGCCGGCGAGAAGGACCGGGCGAAGCGGGAAAGCATGGAGGACAACGGCCTGGCAGCAACGCCGGAGGAGGAGGAGGAGAAGCCCCTCAAGGAGAGGGAGGTAGTGGAGGACTCGGACGACTACCTGCTCTACCTGGAGGAGATCCTGCGGACGATCCACGAGGCGTATTACGCTCTGCACGACCAGATGGGCTCCTCGAGGGCCGACCGCATACCGGACCTGAAGCACGTGGTGCCCTACGTGCGCCGCAAGGTGCTCAAGGGCTCCCACCTGGTCTTCTCCGGGGTGGTGCCCACCAACCAGGCAAGTGCCCCCTCCGCGCCCTTCTTGGGGACGCTCGTGGTGCGAGCAACTCGTGAGGTGCGTTTTCTCAAGGCGCCTTTTGAGGTTGGTCTGGCGGCTTCTCGGAGGTGTCGAGTGGCAGCCCACGTGTTACTGAGAGACTCGGCTTCTTCGGAGCAAAGTCGTTTGGCTAAACATTGGCTGCCATATTTTTGGCGATATTTTTAATGCAGAATATTTTTTAGAGGGAAGGGTGGGGCTCTAAATGGCAGAGCATCACGAAAGGCTGTAACAAAAAACATAGCTTTTTTTTTTTTTTTTTTTTTTTTCAAAACAAATTTTGTGTTTTGGCAGGAATTGAACCAGTCAGCTCACACTCGAGAGTTCGAAGCTTTACATCTGCTCTGCCGAAGCGGCTAAGAAAAGTGTTATTCCAGCTGATATGTACCATAATGTTCCGTACAAACGCCTGCCCCCAAGAGATCACCCATCCTGTTTTTTGGCTCAATATCCATGACATAAGAATCCCGAAACATCGCCCAACCCCCGATTCCCGCCGGATATCGGTTGCGCGATGTACAATGGGAATCGCGTTAACCACGCGATCTGCGGTGTCGGTATGTGCTAGAAGCGTGTTTGCCGCTGGTTTCCTCAGGTTTACCGCACCGTGACGTGCGAATCTGCTGCCAATTTGCGGTATCCGTTCCCTCGACATCCAAATTTGTAGCTCATTCCCTCATGTTTTTTTTTGTTTACGATTTGTATGCGCAATATTGGTTCCCATGATACGTGACTTTGTAGTGGTTTCCCGTGCCTGCCGTACCTTGAAACGCGAATCTGCTGTGTCCGCACGCTGCGGTATCTATTCCCGTGACATGCGAGTTCGTAGCGGTCCCCGAATACTTATTGCACCATAGAATGCGAATTTGCCGTGTCTACGATTTTTGGTATCGGTTTTCTGATATCGGTTCTTGTTTTGTGTGTAGTGGCCGTTCACCAATTTTAATAAATTTTTTCGTCACATCGCCAAACATCGTTTACCCAACATTTTTTACTAGTATTTATCTCTTCATTTTGGGTGGGCATTCTTTCGGAACTTTACGATATGTGTAGGAGGAAGGACAGAAAAATATTATATTTTCCGGGCTATAATCTGCGGATTGTTCATGTTTAAAAGTTGAAATTTTACCCGATGCGGACTATCTACAGGTGTGGACTTACAGGGATTTGTTGTTTCTAGATCATTCACTGTGACAAGACGTGAAGGATTTTACGAATAACGGAATATATTAATGTCGATTTACGTATGATACAAGCTTCTTTGTGAGCTAATACAGCAGGCATTTGTCAAGGTGTGCTGTGTATGATATTTTACAGCGGAGCTGTTAAGGGCTAGGTTCCCCAGGATTGTGTCGGTGTATATCGACACAAACCTACCTGGACGGCTACCGCCATCTATTAGCGATAGCGGCAAGCACACAACCAGTATGGTTTCTGCCCTCACTTGTAGATGGTGGCAACCTTTCCAGCTACAATAGAAGAATGGATAGTTGGGCGCGTTGGTGGGAATTCATCGTAGGAAACAGCTTGAAAAACAGACGACGACGAAAAAGAAGCACACAGAGTGTATCGAGTACAGCTCCGCTGGTCTTCCTTGTTCACGAGAGTGGAAAGGCTGAACGATTTTACATTCAGACTAGGCACCAAATGCAAACTATACACGGCATGCAAACTCTCTAAGCAGAAGCTTTGACCTTTGACCCCAAATTTGCCTTTGCAGACTCTGCAGCTTCATGCATTTTGGAACATGCGGTACTTACCTTGACACTTGTCATAAAGCCGCACAGAATGCTTTGTGTGTCTCATTCCCTAACAGATTACTCTGAAATGCCTAACGGATGACGCAACAGATTGAAGCAGGTTGACAGGTTGACGTAGACTACATCAGTTGGCTTTATGCAAGATATCGAGGCAAGTTCTTTTTATGAAACCCTAGCTCTCAACAGATTCAGTGACATTGGCTGGATTTATGGGTCGGGTTGGGAAAGGGTGGTGGGCATTTGGCTGGTGTAGTGGGAGGGGTCTGCACAGAGATCTGACATCACGGATGGATGCAATGTCACAGTCGGTGCATTGCCAAGATCTATTTTGTTGACCTAACATTTGGCTTTTTACTAAATACTAAACTTTTCTTTCTTAGCCCTTTGACAGTTGTCGCTGTACATGTACGGCAGTGATTACACATTTGAAGGTGAGCACTTAAACGGAAAGCTGCGTGCACCGTGGGAGGAGTTGCTATTTGTTGTCCTTACATTCGTTATATTCGCGCAGTGTTTTGCTTTGCTGGGATATTTATAGTTTTCGAATTAGACGCTCCACACACGTGGGGCTCAATTCGCATACTGGCGGCTCTGGCGGTATGCGAAGGCGCCTTTGAACCTAAGCAGCTTGCTAGCACTGTATGTGCTCCTGCTAGATTGTTAAAGGGACACTGACAGGGTATTTATGCTCGCCGAGGTTTTTAGTTGTACATGACTTATGAGAGCAAAACTACCCAGAACAGAATTTGCAGCTCGATATTTGGTTTCTTTTCGCCCGAAAACCGCCGATCGAGTACTGGCCGGTTTGAGTCGCGCTCACTCTCTTTTTTGTGGTCACGGGCTGTTTTCTAAGGTTGCGACACGACCACCAAATTTAATCAAAGTCGTGGGTCATTGAAGGCACACAGTCAATATTAAAAATAGAAAAAAATATGAAACCCATTTTTTGTGGCTTCCAGAAAGCTGCAAATACGTTGATTGAAAAAAAAAAAAAGTAGCACAGACAATCGGAAGCATTCTGTGCGTTCACTGCATAATTCTCAACAAGGCGTCGTTTCGCGTATCGTGGGACTAGCGGATGGCAGTGGAGGGCGTTGGACCTCTACTTCAGAACTGTCGTTCACGATACCGGCGAATTCTGTCTTCCATCGAAAGAGAAATTTTGGACCGATCAAAAGAACTGATATTCATCCCGTACGACACGCCCGACCAGCAAGCCGATTGCACGAACACGTCGCCGAGCCGTCGTCCCTTCTCGTGGCTGAAAACATGGCTCATTCAAACGTCAAGCACGAAGTGCATACTTCGAGTTGAATACGCAAGCGATGGTTTCTTTACGAGGTGCGAATGGGGCCTATGCGTGGTGCTGCCCGACTTCAAGCCGGGAGGGCATGTATTGAGGGGGAATTGGCAGCAAACCTTGGACATACAGTCGACCGGCTTCATTACTACGCATAAAAGAGTTCCTTGAGTAGCTCAGTGGAAAGACGTCCGCTTCACAGGCAGTGGGCACGGGTCTAATCCCTAGTGTGGAAGTACCTTTTTTTTTTTTTTTGTCAAGCATTTTGCAATGTTTACATTTCTTTTTTTATAATTATCACTGGAAAAACCAATTGTTTTGGACGATACATTGCTGAACTAAATGGTATGGGATTCCATTTTTGACACCTGCGAAATCAATGCAGTCACTTTCCACAAAATGCAAGGAGCATATGAATCAGGTAGCGTCCGCTTTCCGAGCTTCGCGTAACTGTTCTACAGGAATTGCAGCCAGCCATTGATCCCGACCCATTGATCTTTCGGAAACTTGTGCACTCTGCCGCACAATGCCACTTTCAGATGCAGGACATGTGAGGCAGCTCCTCACGCAACATCTTGGGGGTATTCTTTTCGGAGCCGATCACGGTAATTCACCACGGGCACTCACTAATTATTGCCAACACTTAAATGTACAAAAGAATTCCTCTTGAAGTACAGAACAGCGAGCGGAGCAAACATAGCTAACTGCAAAGGAATCGCACGGCGAACTAATCCCGCAACGCCTATCGTCTGCTACGTGCGGAGAGAAAAAAAAACAAAAAAAAAAACGCACGGTTGGGTGTAGCCACGTGACTTCCGCCACTCACTCTACCCTCTCCATTTCTCCGTGCGGTGCGGGAGTTTTGGTTTCGGTTTCGAGCAGTTTATTAAAAAAATATGTGACTCTGTAGCAAAATATCAATTGGGTAGTATTCCAACACCATAATAAATCATCTGACAAAAGATGAAAAAAAAATTTTAAGAGGTGTCAGTGTCCCTTTAAGAAACAAATCTGAGCATTGACCCTTTCTCTAGTACTATTCCTCTGGGAACAAAAGCCGACCACTGGAGACATCTTCAGGGGAAAAAAAAAACTCTACCTACAAAGAGTTCAAAAAGTTGGCGATGCCATTCTTTTTTTTCTTTTCAAAGTGGCCCTTGGGGAGCTCGAGGGGAGTGTTGCCGCCTCTCCCGCCTATCCCCTCAAACCCACCCGAGCGAAATGGGTGTACACCGGTCACCCAATCGTCACCCTCTGAACCCTGGTCGCAGGAGCCCGAGAAGAGCCGGGCGTGGCAGACGGCACGCGCCCTGGGTGCCCGGGTGTCCTCCGACCTGTGCCCCGGGGTGACCCACCTGGTGGCGGCCCGGCCAGGCACGGCCAAGGTGAACCGGGCACGCCGGACACGCCAGCTGCACGTGGTGAGCCCCGCCTGGCTCTGGTGCTGCGCCGAGCGCTGGGAGCACGTGCACGAGGCACTCTTCCCCCTGGAGGCTGAGGCACCTGCGGAGGCCAGGAGGGCCCAGAGGCTGCCCTCGACAGCAGGTGAGGACGCCCCCCTCCACCTTCTCGGTACCCCTTGCTTGTTGCTGGCACCTGTACACTACGTCGGAATTGACCTCTACCACAGTGGTTCTCACCCACTTATGCTTCGGGCATTCCTTCTGGATCGGCGGGATTGATGGGGGACCCCATCCACTGGGAGGAGGGGGAACGGTATTGAACGATCACAATGACAAAAGAGTAAATGAAAGAAACTAGGCGTGCAAATGAATTTTGAAGCTCTGAAATGGACAATAATCAACCCTGCTCACTTGGCATGTATGGGTTGGTCTATTCAGCCTCTGGAGACAGCCAGCATCAGTAAAGAATGTGTGAAGAAACAAAAGTGATAGCTGTAGCACAGTTGCGCCACATGAGTGGAATGGTGCCGTCACGTACCTAAGGATGGAGATGTGACATGGTTAATTCTCATAGCAATCCGTGAAATTAGTAAGCTCGGAGGAAGTTTCTAAAACCATCCAACATGTGTAACAACTGGGTATTGCCGAAGTTGGATTTCGCATGACGCGGGTAATGTTTGAAAACAAGTCTTTCGAGCAGACGACCCGAAGATTCTCCGTTCTATTTGAAAGAGTGTGGTCCATGAAAGTCCTTTGTGTTTTTATTCTTTCTATTTTAAGCATTCATTATCTCGACACGCTCGTTTTCGCCAGCCTGATTCTCCCTTCGTTGCGCCATTCTTGGTGGGATGCCAGGGCTTCCCTCTTCACTCTCTTTGCATGGCACGGCCGACAAGAAGTCCCGACTTCCCTCCTTGCTCCTAGAGAGGAGAGAAGAAGGGTTTCTTCTTCCCTCTTCTCGCATCAGGAGGGGAGAGAAGAAGGGTTTTTCTATAGCGGCGACGACAGCCCACGAGCTTGAAATTTCTGCAAAGTGTCAACCGTAGATCTATCGCTTTAAGAGGTTTTTTTGCTCGACTTGACCGACGGCCAAAGGCTTTCAAAACCTTAACCGCCAATCGTACCCTAAAAGGACCTTGAGGGACCCTAAAAGCTCGATGGACCCCCATTTGAGAACCAATGGTCCAGCGGAGGGCCGGTACGGTGTGTCCACGACGCTGCGTTCAGCGCATGGGCGCACACTTGCCAAGAACGGGAACAGTGCACATCATATCCAGCTGGGAGCTGTCAAATGACTCTTTATATTACTCTGTGGGCCAAATTGTTTTATTTGTTTAGACAAATGCAATTTACTACAAAGGTGTATCTCGGCAATTCCATTGGAACATTTTGGTTTGTAACTTGATTGGAGCAAGGTTGTCTTTAGATGTGCCTCAAAACAAATGTGCGAGTACTTTTGGTCACGGACACAATAAGAATGGCAGGGCATTCCCCAACATACACTGTCTATTGAATTGGATAGTCTTACCTTGCAACCAGCAAAAAAGTGGAGTCCTCTTTATAACTAAAAACATAACTGGATGCTCCAAAACACACCTCACCGCACTTCCTTTTAATGACAGAAGCCCTCTGCCGGTACAATTGGCCACAAGTTGTCGGTTGAAAAAGTAGAAATTGCAGTGCAGACAATCTAAGCAGCTAAATTATGGGGAAAGCAGCACAGGGGCAAATACTTTTGTGTTTGATTTTATAATGCACAAAGAATTCAGAAAGGACAAAACATGTTTAACCGCATTTCGCTCTTCACATAGCTTATGGATAAACAACACAGACAGTTTGTTTACATTCATTCAGCATTGCATATGCAGTGCACCATATATGATGGGCAATTGGTTGTACCATATTTACTCGCATATTGAGCACACTTTTTTCCCGAAAAATTAACACACATTTGGACGGTGCGTTCACTACGCAGGGTAAAATTTTTGCATTTACACACTTTGCGCAAATGTCATTTTAGGTGCCAGTATGACTTGGCAGGGTACCGTGGCACATCTCCATTGACAGAGGCACACCCATGGCTGGTCGTGGGTGCGCCACAGTAACCATGCTTTATAAAGTGTGGACCTTTTTTAGGGTGTTTTGGCGTGCCATTTGCCAGAGAAAAAGAGTGCTACGAAGCTAGCTTAACATGGAGAGCGGCGCGACCGTTCTTAGTCCTAACCACTTTCACAATATCATGTCCGAAAGTAGATCAGAGACGACGGCGTGTTTATTGACATCAATGCATTCGATGGACGAAGCACGTCCGGGGCTGGGCAATGCCTTGACCCCAACTTCGCTAGGTATGTGCGCCGCTCGGATTCACGGTTGATGACTTCCGCAACCACGCAATTGCAGCAATTACGAGAGCAGCTCGGCTTGACTTGGCCTGGCCGCTTGGCAGCAAAGGAAAATTGGCTCGGCGGGCTTGGTGGCTAGCCGGCTAGCTAAGTTGGACGCAGTTCAAAGCTCACGGAGCTAAAAATTAAAAGTGTGTTCATTACGCAAGAAAAAGAAAAGAAGTCCAAAAATTGATGCCCGTTATGGGGGGTGCATTCATTATACGGGTAAATACAGTAGTACTTCACAGCAGCCATATCCAACAACTACACGAATGTAGTACTCCCACATTTTTTAATAATTTCACCTTTATACCATTTGTGAATTTCATGTTGTAGTAACTTTTATGGAACTTGGTTATTGAAACAAGTAGTGCCCATTGCAGAGGAAGTGAAAAGGCTGTGAGCCACCAACCGTCGAGTGAAGAGGGCTGGGCTTACAAAAACTTTTCCCTGCCGTTCTGATCCTGCCACTAACTGTAGCTGCGCTTTCCTTGTAGTGGAACTAATAGCTGTGCTTTACCTATTTTCCAGGCTGTAGTCGGTGAACTACAGTGTCTAGAAGTTGAAATTTTACCCGGTGTGGACTACCTACCTACATGTGTGTACTATACAAGGATATACTGTTTTTTAAATTGTTTACCATGATAGGACATGAAGGAGGTTAGGAATAGCAGAGTATATCAATGTTAATCTGAGTATGATACAAGCTTCTTTGTGAGCTAATACAGTGGGCATTTGTCAAGATGTGCCACGTATTATCATTTTTACGTTCGGACTTGGCACTAATTGCGCACACGGTGTGCAGACTAGAGCTCCGCATGGCGGCCGGGCCAACCCAAAAGCTCCAGCCGGATAGCACAGATTGTTTCCGGGCCCGGGCTGGGCCCAGGCCAGGCTCGGGCAATGGTGTAGCACACTTTCGAAAACGTTGAGAGGAGACTGCTAACGTATTGATCATTTGTATTTGAAAGAAATGGAAAAGCCGAAGTGCAAACTCGCTACGACGCCACCAAGAAAAAAGCTGAGAAATAAAGAAAGCTGTCTTGGACTAAGAAAGCCTACAGGAAGATACGGAGAAGAATCCTAAGGATTCCGTCAGCGTAGTGGGACATCTGCCAGCGGGCAACGAAACGAGGTCAATTTGGTCACAGGGAACTGTACTATTGTCTTTCCCTTTCGCTTTTTGAACTCGTGAAGAAGGAAAAAATGCCTTCTGGCTATCAAAGATAAGCTATGTCTTTTATATTTGTGTAAGCTTTCGAAGGTTTACCACGTGACTGCAATATGACGGCACATTTCGTGTATATCAGGCTAAACGAATCAAATGCACCAACACATTCCCAGGGCAGCTTTGAATTTAAGAGATGAGGCACACGCTTTGAGCTCTCGCCAGGTCAGGTCTGGGCAGGGCCTAATAAAGTAGGCCCGTGCAGTACTGTAATCAGGACTCTATAATCAAAAACTTTTATCCTTCACCCGAAATTTGCCCCTGCGGACTGTAGTTTGGAAAACACTGTACTTACCGTAAAATACCGGAGGAGCACCCAGTCCACTTTCACTAAAAACTGGATTAATCTAGACATGGGTGCTTGTCCGGTCAAATCGGGCACAGTGGATTCGATTCTTTTGGCCTACTCGGATGTTAGAGTTGCACTTTGCAAGGAACGACCGACTGCCTCGTGCAAACAGCCTTCCGAATGCAGCGACCGCCAGGGCAGCCGAGCCTCGTCGGGAAGAGGCGGCAGCCGCCGACCCAACGAGAGAGGCAGCCGCGCCCGTCTACGACGCCGTCACGGGCAAGCGGATCTGGCGGAACGGACCGCAGCAGCAGCGGGACGTCGCAGAAGCCGGGTGCGTCACCTTGCGTGTCACTTCGTGGCGTTCTCTCTTTGAGTCGCACGTTCGAAATATCGAACATAGTCTTTTGGCACGCTCTACCAGTTGTGATCACGTGACTGTACGAATTACTCGTGGAAGCTGTAAGGACAGATGTCATCAATTTGGGGACGGTGTTGGTTGGGTAGTATGCGCCATACGAGTTTCCCAGTGATGATGAGGAAACATGCAGTGTGTGTGGATCTTTGGCACGACAAGCTTGTAGGGTAATTGACTTCGGGTTGATGAGGAATTGGTGTAAATGCCGTTCATATTTTTGCCATTTCTTTCTAACAGCCAGCCTGAGAAATACTTTTTTTTTTTTACTGAAAGTTCCTTGCCGTTGGCCGGCCCTCTTTTTTGCCATCTGGACCCAACAAATGCACCTGACATTGTGTCTCCAATTTTTGCAGAAATTTGGAGTGGACACATATTTTATGGTTCTTAGCCAATGGCAAAATATAGTTTGATTGTTCCTTTACATTGACACAATAATTTTTCTAGCCTAATCTGCCTGGTGTTTTTAAGGGGAGACACTGCCCAGAAAAAAGGAATTTTGCAAAAAAGGTTGATTTTGAAAAATGACATATTTACATCCACTAACATCTAGAGAGTATTCCCAAAAAGTTTAATTACTTTTCACTGCATAGTTAATTTTTTTATAAATTATTTTCTGTCCACCAAAGCTAAAGAAAAGGTAAGGTTTGGAGCACTTTGAATGCATTTTTCTCCGTTCCACTTTTTGGTATGAATTCCATTTTAGTCAATCTATCGTTTGATAATGGCAAAACAGGGAAGGCTCATTCTTCCCTTTTCCTAAATGAAATTTAATAAGGAATGCGGCTATGGAACTTTTTTGTCACTTTACAGATGTCTTTTATAAAAAATGTTGACATTTTGTCGAAAACACAGAAGACCAAAAAGTTGACAATTTTTGCAGAAGAGAAAATTTATACAAATAAATTACCTTTTAGAAAAAACGTTTAATAGCCGCACCTAGAGTTCCTGTATATGCTCCTTCGAAGGGGGAGCAGAGTTGCGCATTTGTTTTCCCCGCGCTGCCACGCCGCTATTCGCCGAGATCCATCACGTGAGGAGCAAAGAATCCACGCCGTGCAAGAAAGCCACCTTTACGGTCGCCCCGCCGACGTTTCTCGCGCCTCAAAGTATGTTCCCCTGCTTTCTGCCTCCTTTTCCTCCTCTCCTGTTTTCTGTGCGCGGCGGCGTGCGCGGCGCCGCTATTCTCCAAACCTAGTCACGTGAGGAGCAAAGCATCCAGGGCGTGCGGGAAAGCCGGCGCTACGGCCACCTGCCGAGGCTGAAAGCGCAACTCTGCTACCGTAGGTAGCTATACAGGAACTCTAGCCGCACCCTCTAGGCCTTGTGCTACATATCTAGCAAATAAAAATCTTGAATATCGTGATAGTTTTCTCACAATAAATTAACTAAAAAATGTAGGTGTGTTGCTGATGGAAGCTACTCTAATTTCCTTCTCATTTAACCGACAGACCTGAAATTTTGTTATACACCCTCTAGCATGACCACCAGCCTACCCTGTAAATTTCATTAATTTTAAAACAAGGATTCAAAAGTTGACCCCCCCCCCCCCCAGGGGGGTGTCCCCTTAAAGGAAACTAAAGTTAATTTTAGCCAATACTTTGCTGTTGATGCTGCCTCTGCTTAAATGCACTGTGCCATCCTTCCGTTTATATTGGTCTTTTTTTTTCATCTCTGCGCGTGACATGAAAGAGACGTAACACAAAGAGGCGTTACATTGGAAACTAGTTTTTCTGAGCGCCGCTGACGTAAAGATTTTGTGTTAATTGGAAGCCCTAAAGACAGGTGAGCTTTTGCTCGGGTTTCTGAGCAATGTACCTTATAAAACAGTTTTCCGCAGTATTTCAATGTATCAACTGTCACATGCACAGTTGTATCTCATGAGGAATGAGCCGACACTGACGTGCAGACTCTGCCTTCCTGGCATGCGCAGCCTCGTCTTTTTGAGGCATTGCTTTATCCTCGTTTCCTACCCCATCCTTTTTTAATGTCTTAAGGAGCTTGTGTCGCAGAAAAGCCGGTGTCGGTGGCATGACAAGAAAATTACGGACGCAAAAATCCTGATTGGTCGATAGGGTCATGACAACACAGCCACATGACCTTGCCGGGGAATTTCAAACAACACTCACAAGAAATGTGACGTCACGCATGGAATGAAAGGGATAAAAAAACATGACCTGATCTAAAGCGAAAATGTTGCTGCATGTGTCAAATAATTTCATTTTATAAACTAATTCATTTGCCTTAAAGAAAGTTTAAAAAAATCTTAGGTGGGATCCAAACCCACGACCATTCAGTTGCGAGCCAGACACTTTACTGACTAGGTCACCGTGTCTGTTGCACTTCCTGCTCACTGGCAGGAACAGCATGAGAAATGAATAAGAAGGTGATACGAACGAGGCCGATAACGCTGTCGCGTTCCACTCTTAAAGGCGAAGCTTAAGCGTCCTCCAAGTTTTGTTGGTGCTTCCAAAAGATTTTGGCAGCTGGCAAACTCTGCTACTTTCTACTGTATTATGGCACGCTTCACTTCACAATCTTAGTTGGATTACACTCCTGCATTAAAAAGGGTGAGACAGACTCTATGAGTTGCACCGTCTGCTCGACGGCCTTATTGATGCCGAGGACTGACGTGGGGCCAATGTGGGTCCACTGTGGGCAGGCCGGTGGCCCCTTTGCGTGAGCAGAGCAACCCGCACCTGAGCATGTCCTCGGACCAGCTGCGGGACATGGACCGGGAGGTGGACGACGCCTGCAGCGAGGGGGACGAGGACGACGAGGGGGAGGGGGACGCCCGCCCGGGCGACTCGGACTCCTCCGCCGAGAGCCTCTCGGGCGGACATTGCCCGCGCGGCTGGCGCAAGCGGCGCAGGAAAGGGGCCGAAGACGACGACGACGACGAGCCGGCCGCAAAGTCGGCCCGGTGCAGGCCGGCCGAGGACAGTGATCGGGGGTCCCGTGCTGACGACGACTCGTCGGAGGCCGAGTCCGTGGGCTCGGTCGACGAGGAGATGGCGGCCGCTGTGGAACGCGAGTTCCTCGGACTCTAGCCGCAGTGGATGACGGTACATTCACCGGACTGGTGTGCCGGTGACTCAGCGGGTGCGTCGGATGTTCGTCAACGATTTTCCAGCCACATCTGGGATATGTTGGCGGTTTGCGGGGGGCGTTTGTGATTCGCCGGTGATTTGCTGGGTGCATCCGTATTCGTCGGCAGTTCGATGGGTACATTGAATATTCGTTCACCGGGTGTGTCGGGGATTCGTCGGCGATTTCCTGGCTGCAGTAGGTTCGGTCGCTCGCTCATGCGTAACTTATTAACTAGCTGGCCCGGACAGCAAACTGTGCGGTTTGGCACTGCGTCACTTGCGAGCCACAAACTCTTGTTTTAGGAGCCAAGTATGGCTTGGTGCACGTGCCAACGTCATACTGTGCGAGGTTGCAGCTCCGATTGCAATCTGTCTACTTTCGGGCAGCCCTTGGTGCTCCAGCGTAAGCTTTTCGCTTATCCGTTACAAAAGAATCAGTGGATTTAACCGTCCCGCCGACGTCTTCTTCGTGAAACCGAGTTGTTGTTTTTTAGTTGTTTTGGCTCATTCTCACGTGTTTGCCTCGATGCTGCATCGCGCGTATGACGATTGTTCTTAGCATCCGTTCCAGTGGCATTCTGAGAGCTGGCGACTACTGCAACGGCAGTTTGGGCAGTACGTTGCCATCGCCGTCCTTGGAATAAACCTGGGAGCGAGGCCACTGCAGTGGCATTTGGCAACCAAGCTCTGCTCAGAGCCCGTGTTTTGTGTCGCTGGTTACGCCGAAGCATTTTACGAAATTCTACTGGCACTGTCATCGGCATGTTTTCTCGAGCGGCGTTTCGCCCTGTGCAGTCTCTTGCAGGTGAGGAACACACCTACAGCTTTCAAGGTCCTTCCCGGTAGCTTTGGCACATGCTCATACAGTGCCTTAAGCTTAACTGGCCAAGTTGATTGTATTTCAGAGCATGGTTACAATAACTACGCAAGCTTTCGATGCCCGTATTGTTCTAGAAAAGCATAACTTGCTGAAACTCGCTTTTGACGAGCACATGGTAACAACAGTGTCCGTACAGGTTACCAGTCTGCAGTGTCCTTCAACTTACTGGAAATGGAGTGACATGGCTCATTCTCCCATGTTCTAGTTTGCTGTACTTCCAGCAAAACACACGGGCAGTCGACGAAGTCAGGCTGGCACCAACATACGGGAACATACTTCATACATCTCCAGGAGAAAAGGGTTGGCTCAACTATGGGCTTGCTTTGGCTAGGGAATGGGCTCATTGTCTAGTATACGTGCTCACATAGTTGGTTAACAAGAATGTGGTTGGCCCATACTAAGCAACTGGCAGTGGCTTTTGACTGGCATGGCAGCCAGTTCGTGACTGCACGAAATGTTTGGGTTGCCTTAGCAATGAGAGCACTACTTTGGTAGTGGGTAGAATTTTAGTTGGCTACCACTTTGTGCAACGTATGTTTGGCCATATGCCCCCAAATACTTGCCCAAGCGGTGTATCAGGTAAGCCTGCATTTACTTTGTTTTATGTGTAGCATACATTACACAGTGAAAGGCAGGCGGTAGGATGAGTGAGGAAATTGTTTGCATGGTCGAACATGAGCACCAGCCACTGCTGTCTTTGCAGGGGTTAGTACTGGGGTAGAGGACGTGCAAACGCAGATTCTCGAAGAAATGCGTGAGCATTTCGCGCAGCGGTCATATAAAGAACAAATCGGGGTGAATGCAGCCTCTCATAACTTTTTTGCAAGGCGAGCATTTCCAAAACCCCTCTTCTCCCTGGTGCAAGCAGATCACGGCGGCGGCGTGACGCAACACCTAACAACCGAGGTGCAGTAGGGGACAGCAGGGCCAGGGCATACTTGGGGTGCTAGCGGTGCTTCGCGAGACGGCCCATACGGGTGGCTCAAGGTGGGTTAATATATTGTAATAAGCCATCCTCAGACTGTTGCAACGAAGCAGCATGAACAAGGGGGCTCGGGTGGGTTGACGCGCGCCCCAGCGATACACCTGCTGTCTCCCACTACACAGTGCCGAAATCGGCTAAGGGAACGTCGCCGGCAATCTTCGCTTGTTAGGTGTTACGTCACGGCTCTGTTAGTCGCGGCGTATGGCGCACTTCCAGTCGGGGGCTATGGGCGGAAGTCACCATGTCTGACGTGCATTCCTTAAGACGCATCTGCTTATAATTAGGAGCTTGTCAGTCTAGTCTGCGACAAAGATACCGGCTCTCAATGAAATGTCCGCCGAAAACAAGATCTATCAACAGAACCACCTAAAACAAAAAAAATGTTTTTTTTTTGTTTTCTTTTTGCCAAACGTTTGGTTTATTTTTTTTATTTTTCTATTCTTCTCTGTCTCCCCCCCTCCCCTTTCCCCTCCCTTCACCCAGGCTGCCGCTCCAGCTGATGTGGTCGGCGGAATAAGTCTTCATGCTGCCAGTTGCAAAGTTGTTTTGTCCTGTCTAGGGATGCCGCGAACCACCCTAGGTTCGAATTCGAAAGGTTTCAATATTTTCTAACCGAACTGATGTTCGATTTCGAAAAGTTTCGATATTTTCGACCGTAGGGAGGTTCGAATTCGAAAAGTTCGCAACTTTGAAAAATCATAGGGTTTTGAATTAGAAAAGTTCGAAGCTTTCACGGTTTCTAAAAGTTCGGGTTCGATTATTTCGAATATTTGTTTACTTGAGGTTCGATAAATTCGAAGATTTCAAAGTTCCTTAATTTGAAAATTCGAGAGATTCGATTGTTTCGAATTTCTTTGGATCTAATATTCAAACGTTTCGAATTTTTAAAGACCTAAAGTTCGATAAATTCGAAGATTTCGAATTTATTTCTACATAAAGTTTGAAAAGTTTGAAGGTTTCGATTCTCTTTTAAGGCTAAATTCGAAGAAAAAAAACACCTCGAAGGTTTTTGATTACTTTGAAGTCCAAGTGCGCAAAGTTCAAACTCCGGTTTTCATATTCCGCCACCAGTTTCAGTTTCAAATAACGTTTTCACGCCTCACTGGTTTTCACGAAATCAGGTTTAGAAAAGTTTGGGTGTGATATTTAGACTGCTCGAAGTTGGTCAGGCAATTAAATGAGACGACGAGTGCCCCGGATGTGCTGGAATGTTTGCCAGTGCAGTGACGTGTAACAATAGATCAGTAATTGTGACCGCCAGCCCGGGGTGGTCATTAACGTGCATTACGAAGTAGTGATCCTACGTACGCACTGTTTAGTGATACTCATCTAATTCGAAACGGCCAGGGGCAGGCAGGTGGTTGAGGTTGAGAAAAACCTTGAAGTGATCTGGCAAACTGTCCCCCTACCCCTTTGCACGCTGGTAGTAATCTGATCGAACGCCGCCCGAGTGATGCTGGCATATAGTAAGTTTAGTTTGTACAGGATTCAAAGTCCCGAGACTGGGAATGAAATTTGAAAGAAAAAGTGTAAGAAGACAGAAAAAAGGGGACAGGACAACGTCTCAAACTCAGCTGAAAACTCGGCTCAGGACAACGTCTCAAACTCGACTCAGCTGAGTTTGAGACGTTGTCGTGTCCCCTTTTTTCTTTCTTCTTACACTATTTCTTGCGAATTTCATTTCCAGTCTCTGGAGTTTGCATCATGATCAACATACACCAACTCGCCTGCACCTTGACAATTTCTTTGTTTGTAATTGCTTTGGAGGTTTATTTTCTGGGGCGGAAGAAACGCCGAGCAAAAAGCACAGAAGCTGACGCAACTTGAGGTCGAGGAGCGTTCTACCATACCAGTGGCGTCGGAAGAGGAAAAATGTGGGGGGGGGGGGGGGGGGGGGGAGCTCCAGTCTCTTCCCCCCCCCCCCCCCCCCCTTCCTCCCAGATATTTCGGACTGTTAAAGAAAACAATACGGGGAAAGAGGGCATGGTCGAGCTTATTTTAATCTGAAATTATGTATGCATATGTATAGCTACTGTCGCTCTTCACTGCATAAAAGATCGCGTATAGATGGTCTCTCACATGCAGCGAAGCGCTGATGTAACGCTGCTCACGTGGAAAACCCTCGCCTCCGACCGTCGTATTGCGCGGTCGGACGTCGGATCGTACTGCGCGAAACACATGTACGACGAAACCGTCCGATCCGACGTCCGACCGCGCAATACGACGGTCGGAGGCGAGGGTTTTCCACGCTCTCCGATGCTACGAAAACCCTCTCCCCCCAAGGTCATTCCGGCAGTCCGCACGTCGGATCGGACGGTTTCGTCGTACATGTGTTTCGCGTTTTATCGTATGCCATGAGCAACAGTTTTGACGGTGCGATACAAAGCTGGTGAACGCTCCCGTCGGCACGTGCTTAGCACGAGGTCAGCGCCACAGTGGTCAGCGCTATGCTTGTAGCGCCCAGCTGCATGAGTGAAGAGGCCTTTAGAAACTCGTCGGGAGGCACTACCACTACTTGTCACATGCTCGGTGGCTCGAAAGTTCAAAGCTACGTCTTTTCGACCTAAATAACTGTGCCATTGGTAAAAAATAATAAATAAACATAACATTAAATGCAAAAATAAAAAGCTGGAGAAAAAAAAAAAAACTATCAAGAACCCGCCGGAAGTGTTGCATTCTTGCATATTCAGAGGCCCAGAACTATTAGCGAGTTCGTTTCACGGCACTCGTGCCCACGCGTGCCCCGTCGCAGCGTGGAACGGGTTCGTTTCGGCCGGCGCTCCACGAGTGGTTGCACTCCGAGTTCGTTTCAGCGCTGACACCCCACGCGTGCATGCACTCGCTGCACCGAGAAAATCGGGAGTGCGCCAAAATGCAATCCCGTCATGCCTCGCTCCGGCGGGGCCGGCGAGGAGCGGGAGCAGACGACGAGGGTTCGTCTGCTACGATGTGTCGCGGAACCGAACGGAAAAAAAAGTAGATTTTCTGATAGAAATCGCGTCCCGCGGGCAACGAAATCAAACGCGAGCTTGAATTGTGAGCGTCTGCTATTTCACGAAGGAAGCAATCGACAACCCGTGATTTATTTGCAGGTTTTAAATCGCTCTGTTGCCGTACAAACGCTGAAATATACCATTGTGTAAAGAAATGCTCAGAACAAACGCAACAGCGGCCCCCGAAATGTCTATCACCATCCGGTGTGCGGGTGAAAATTTTAACATTATTCGATAAAACTCCTCCAGCAGAAACCTCTGACTGCCCAATAAGCAGCAGAGAAAGCTAAAGATGGTGACTTTACCCGAGGATTGGGCAACATCATCATGTTTAACATTTACCTACGCAGCTAACTTGCCCCGTCGTATTTTGTTCGAGAAAGCTCTCGTTCTCGACGCCTTCACCAAGGCTAATATCTAATCCACAATGACGATCCAAATCGAAAGTCCCAGTTTTGCTGGATATTCCAACAGGCTAGTTTTACGCCGTACCCTTTCAGTCGTTCACGCATAATACCATGCTCAAACGGATCAAGCTTCTGCTCGGACAGCATCATCAGTCTTCTTCAGTGTAAACGGTTATAAGGATTGAAAGATCGCAACCAGTTGCTTTGTGGACAGCTGGTTGCGGAAATTTACGCCGTCTGTAACTATCTCTATGGCAGCCGAGCTGCTTGAAGACATCGCAACTATAAACTACAGGTTGCAGTTGCCAACGTTTGTAGATAAACGTTGGTAGCGACTGCATTCTCGCATTCCCACGCATCACTCGGAACAGAAAGGCGCTAGTTTCGGTTTGAAGTCTGTACCTTTTCTACCACATAGATGGCGGCAGCATCAGTCTTCTGCACTCGGTGCATTTGGCGAGTTCGTTTGAGTCCAGTTTTCCGTGCAACACTCTGTGAGTGCGATGCATTCTGGGAGAGAACTCGAACGGTGCCAGTGCGTGTGCGTGTGAAACGAAGTTTCTCCTACCAAAATGTGTACAGGCCAAAAGAAACACGTCCCAAAAACGTAAAATGAGAAAAAAATTTTTTATGACGCACTGAACTTGAACAATTTTAGAAATCTTCCCCCACGAGATAATTTATTCCTCAACGTAAAAAAAAATAAAAAAATAAATGCATTATTTTGTATTCTGCAGATGGTAATGATACGTACTGTCTCTGGTGTTAATTTAAATGCGATACCCCAAACAATGTAGGCGAACAAAATTACCAAGTTTAGGGCATAATTGTCCGCAGGTACATGTTTGGATATTTTTTTCGAAACTCGTCTTAAACAACAATAATCATATCTTAAGACGACACTTACCTAGGCTATACATAGATCGTTCTTGAAAAGTTTAACATCTCTACCATAAATAGCTTCGGCTATAGCGCGTCCGTCGTCGTCCTTCCTCGCTCCTTCGGGATATATTTTTCTAA